GGGAGGTTGGTGCCGCTGCGTACACCATGCGTGCAGAGGGGAGGGGGGTTCAAGCCAGTGCGTACCGTGCGCAAACTGAAAGTTTGCCCTTAATGAATCATCATCGTATCACTACACTTTCTCATACAAATAATTACCAGAATCAGCTTTTGTGCGTCAAAATTCAAACACGGTATTCTCCAGCGTCCACCCCACCTTTTATCCTCCCATGCCAACGTCCATTATTAGTAAACTGCAACATTACTGATGACAGAAAGACCGGCAGCATCTTTCGGAATTGTGGAATGAGTATGCGTACAGGGGGAGGGGGGTCTGAAAAGTCGGCATTTCGTGCATATGTACTTTATGGACAACCCCTAATCAAATTTATGATGCAGATTTTAATAGTCAAAAATCCTCTTAAATTCATGAGACCAAAGCTGTGAACCACATTTATGAGGGATCAAATATGTCCAGCACACTGACTGAGAACTTAAAAACAAAATTACATTATTTGTCAACTTTCAAACAGAACTATCTTGCTGAATAATTCTTGTGATACTCATATAATTCATTATTAAGAGGCTTCCCATGCTACCAATCTGATTTTGCTTAACTGGCATATTGTGTATTGTCGTCTATTGTCCGTTTTGTGTTTGGTGTACTGCAAGGAATTTTAAATCTGTATAAACAGCCCAGGATTACAAGTGTCTGCTTCCAAGTAATCACTTTCTTTTACTTGTACAAATTCAAATCTATGGGTGCTTGGAGGCAGTGTAAAAATTCCAGTGACTTCCAGTGACAGTCGGCATTTGAAAACCTCGTTACCGCAATGACAGCCGAGCACAGAACCCCAACTCACTTCATAGGAGACTTGGAACGTGTCTTGAGCTGGTGACTTGATCTCTCCATCTCGAAAGCACATCCTACCCCTCTACAGAAGGTTTAGAAGAGAAGACAGACGCTATACTATCAATTCAATACACCGGTCTATTGCGCCATGCCTAAATGTGCCCACAACAGTAAAACTGTTGAACAAAGTACATGTACAAATAGTGAAAGATTGTATAAGGTGACTGTGCACACCAGGCATAGGCCTTAGCACTTGACTGGTGTACAACTTCTTGTACAAACTGCTGAAGGCTAGTGAAATGCATTCTATAACTTGCAAAGCGGGCTGGTAAAGAAATAACCACCTGTATCAAACTGCCCTTGTCTGATTTGCAAAGAGGAATAAAACAAACGTTACAAAAGTTGTGAATTTGGATTGGACCTGTTGTTTATCTGTATCAATAACTGTACGGTACTGAATCCTCCACACCAAGGCCAAAGTTAATTTTCAAACAATGTCCAGTTGGCTGTTGAAAATTCCTATGGGCTTGTGAGGAGATAAGTTTAAAAAAAAAAGGTCGGCACCTCGCACATGCACTTACATGTAATTAGCTAATTTAGTATTTCAAAAAAGCATGGTCATTCGGGAACAAGGCACGTGCGTGAGTCAGTGAAGGGGCAAGCTGATTGGACAGACCTCAGACGCACGGCCGAATGACCTCGGACGCGCTTCATTTTGGGCATGGGCGTTTGTCATACTGAACTGGCTCTCTGAGAACTAATGCACACAATGTAGCACTCATGAGGTCACCGTGTCATTTTGTATAATGTCCCTTCACAGAATCTTTACCTTAGAACAACCTGTACCAATGTTATGCCGGTATGTGGCACCTTAAATCCTTCCTCCCCCCCAAAGAAAGGGCTCATCCAGTGCGCATTCATTTTCACCATAAGTGGGCAACAATCGATTCTCATAACCGTTGTCTACAAACTGGTACATGTGATCCTGCTGGGAAACATGAAGCACACTGATTTTTTTTAGACTCGGAATACCACAAACAGATCATTTTGTGCATGCATTTATTCTCACGAATGAGTTACTAATTTATCTCCCGGATAACTTGCAGTGCTGCGTACTAATTGAATTGAATGGCAGTGCTGGTACTAAGCAGGAGAATGTAAGCAGGAGAATGTCAGGTAATAAGCAATATTTAGCACCTGGATATTAAACTAAATTTCCTTAAGTGATTTGCATATAAACATAAAAAGAATCAAGTTTCCACGAAGACAAATGATTATGTCATGTACGCGCACAAACCTACTCGACAGCATAGAGCATTCTTCTCACAGCATCAATAAACCAAAATGGTAAAGGGAATGCTTTCTGAAACGTATAATCAGTGTGAAAATCCATACCAAGGGAGTGTTGCATGTACACTCATTGTTGACTGCAAGGAAACTCTCGTGACATCTTTCGCACCTGTCAAAATAGAATGAACTCAAAATTTGACAAGCTAGCATTGTCTAATAACAGACTTGAGAACAAAATGGACACAACTGTACATCAAAAACATCTGAATTTGAAAATTAAATATAAACTGTACTTGTCTTAAAACTACTTTTTCCAGGTTAATTCAACAATCTCTGCACATGTATTTGCCTCAGGTGCCGTATTTCAACTCAATGCACACATCTGAACAAATCTGAATCAAACACTGTGTTATGTATGAATTCATGAATATGTATGCATGTGTAAACAGGCCAATGTACTGATGATGGTGCACTTTGTTTGCATGGGTTTGCATCTCATATGGAACCATTCATTGGGGGGCCCACGCTCCAACGAGCACCATAAGAAAGCATATGTAAAATGTGGCGTCACCAGTCCAGAGGTCTACTACAATTCTTGAGAGATACTCTTGGGCAGATGCGGTAGACAAGTTGTAGAGCAAAGTTACATGTACATTGGGGAACAGGAAGACGGAACAACTGGGTTGGGAGAAGCATGAGGACCATACATACTGAATTCCTTCGCTGTTTGGCGTGGTGGATGCATCACAGGTCTGGCAAGTTTTGGTTGGTTGTAAAACACCTGTTATTGAGTACTCCTCTATGACAGCAAAAAAAGAAAATTTTACACACTTCAGTGTCGCTGTGTCAAAAACTTATGCATGTTACTGCATGTGCATGTACGATCTTGGCAGATTAAAAAGAATGTGTTGTCGTGATAAGAGGATGAATGGCATACTTTGAGATGCTTGGTGGCAGCAGACAAACTAGTCCTTTCCCACAAATGTACACGTGCTCAGAACTACCGCACACACCCAGAACTGCACACACATGCCAAGAACTGTCAAAGAGGTCCGGTTTGTCTGTGGCCACCAAGTGTCTCAGAGTCTCCCGCTGCGAAGAGTGACTAAGACTTGGGGTTAACTACATGTAATAGTCAAGTTCTGTATCCAACCAGTGCGGCCTATCTTACCTGTGTTTACACGTCCAATATCTAGCTTTCTAAGCAGTTAATGGAGGTGCCTATTGAAATATTATACATAGGTGGAGCCAGGAAAGCAGAGGTGAAATGTCTAGTTTGTCCAGCAGCTGGATTTAAACCCCCCAGCCCCCTGTGGTAAGCCACGAGCCCTACTCACTAGGTGAAGATTTGCCAAGGATTCAAAAGTGCACAAATAGGCACCACCTGTTCAGGAGGGGAACCTACCACCGATGTCGCCAGTGCTGCAACTGGAGCAGTCGGCTGTCTCGCAGGCAATGCAATCCCAACCATTCACAGTGCTTACCTGCACAACCAAAAATATCAATTATGTCGTAAGTGATGAAAACAGACTACTTGTATATATGTATATACATGTATATATCTGATCAAGTTGCACTCTATGTTAACATGCATGCATAAAGATTTGAATGGTATTTCATACATTTTAAATACTTTGTGTGGTGGTTCAAAAGTGCATCCCGGTTTACATCCGACTACATGTAGCCTAGGAAACCCAACAGGTATTCGCTCTTTGCACATTGCCACCATAGGCATGCAGAGCCTACATCTGACAGCTTGCAGAATCGCATCAACACACCTTTTCAAGTACTGTCCAATCGCGTTGTATAAGAGCTATGCGGCATGCGCAGAATTACTTAACAACATATACGCGGTTTGTGTAAAGATCGAGGCTCTGCATGTTTATGGCGGCAGCGTGCAAAGAGCGAATAACCAAGAAACAACCATTCAGAGTTCAAAAATAAAATTTGCAATCAGTCATCATTTTTTGTATAGTGTTTTACAACTTTTCTTCTACTTTTTTTTTCCTTTCATATTCGTCAATTCTTTTCTTGTTACAACTTGTTTTCGATATACATTCACAAGCATTGTGAAACAACCGTCTCCATTTTTGGCGGTTATCTACATGTACAGTGTTCCTACACTTGCAATGTATCAGCAACACCATCACATTTGAGAGTGTTTTTGTAGGTGTCTTAATATCTCCGCTGGGGACAGCCAACAGGTTGAGGCCCATGTGCAAATTCACTGTATTGGAGTGCCTTCACTGGTCTGTTATCACCCATTCTTGTGCCATGGCTGAAACCAGCATTGACAACTTACACCTAGGCCCAAACACGATGTCTTTGACACCTGCTCTTTTGAGGAATTCCTCATTACTGGCACATTAAATGGTCTCATTCTCATTATAATAGTTATTACTTACATTGTATTTCTTTTCAAGATCTTTATCTCTATGAATTACGATACCTGTCTATCTGTATGTGGGGACAGTTTTTGTGTTGTGTGTTTGTCTTGTCTGGTTTTATGATTGTTTTTTTTAATATATAAAAGTGGCAAGTCCCTGCTGCTGCTGGTTGTCAAAGAAATAATAAATACAAATTCAGACTGGTGTAATAGTTCTTCCTTACTACTTGATTACTGGCCTGGTCCACATATTATGGATGGGGTTTTCAGTCCCTACTTGATTCCATGATTTCTACCAAAAATATTCCTCTGGGCTTTCCTCCCACCTCTAAAACTGTCACTTCCTCTCACTGTTTCCTCTCTACAGGTTTCTTCAGGACTGCAAAGCTATGGTGCCTTGGGCACTTTTGAGAAATCTTTGGTGTCATTACCAGAAATAATTAACAATCAAGTTGATATTCACAAGTGCTGGGATGTGGCAATGTTGAATGAAGTGAAATTGTCTGACTTGGTGATGACACAAATTTCAAGTTTAGAAATCAAGTTTCAAAGCGTACCCGCTACAAGGCAGACACACACATATTGCGCATACCAGACTATCCATCTGCCAATGCTCCACTTTATTTGAAAGAATCTGGGATTCCAGACCCCTACAAGTTCAGAATAACTTTTGTCTCCTGAAGAGTTGCAGCTAATACTGTTCCACACAATAGATTCTAAGCAAATGTACCTAGAACATTTGTTACCACTGACAAATCTGACATCAAATCCCTTTTTCTTTTCCAATAAATGAAATAACATACTTTTCCTGCACCGCATGCTTCACACTCAACAGAGGTTGCAGGTCCTCCAAAATTCTTGGTTGTCTTGTATGCAGGTCCTCTGCACTGGCAGGCCAATCCTGGGGATGTTCAAAGCAAACAGTTGGCTCTAATTGTGTCAGGGTGTTTTATTGAGGGAACAAATGCGAAAACAGCATTTTTTCTTGCCCCACTGTTTTTGGCCATTACGGGTTGTAATGCTACCGAGATGGGGGGGGACCCTCTGTCTAGATTCCAGCCTCTGAGGTAAAGTACTTGTGATGTAAATATCACTTTCTCAAATATCCCCTTAAGGGCATGGAAAATTCTACTTCAATGTGCCCATGTAAGAAGTTGTAAAAAAAAGAGGTAAGTCCACTTTAGACCTAGCCTAACCCCAGACCTGGCCAGTCTGCTGAACTACCTCCGTATCCTTGGCCCTATGAACCCCCCCAAAAAGTGAGGACTTTTTGCAAAAGCTTCCTATGAGCCCCATTATTTCTAATACGGCTTGATTCAGCCAGTCTGGTCATTAATTCATCATTTCGGGCAATTTTCAGATTTGTTTACTCTAATGTTTCATTCATTAGAGTAAACAGGTGTCAAACACAGTTTGGATCTGTTTGGTCTGGAAACCAATCAGCGATAAGGCTAATGAAATTAGATTTCTTCTTTCTCGTCAGCGCCTGCATGTGATGCTAGCCCCGCATGAAACAATTTCATTGTTCATTATTTTAACGCAAACGTAACGCAAAATCCAACTCCCGACAATAAAAGTTACATTCCGGCAATTCAAGTCATCGGAATACCAAAAATCTGGAGCCTGAATCCCTGTGGGCACCTTGTCAGCCTAGCAGGGTACCTGATACTCAATATAAGTCAAAACATACCCAAAAGGGCAAAAAAAAAAACAAAAAAAAACCAGGCCATGTCCGAACCGTGCGTGTACGTCTGGCAGCAATCACTGGTCTTGCACCAAGACTTTACCCTAGCAGAATCAACAACCACATGGGCTGCAATCCAACAGTCAAACAGCATCAGACTAGTACACAATCCCGAGTTACAGAGCCACATACATGTAGTCTCATTCTAAATCTTTTCTCTGTCTCTGGCTTCGGCTTCACGTGCTACCGGTATATTGACATGATTGAAGCCAAATGAAGCCAACCGAAGAGAAGACTTTGTGAAGTCAAGAGGTGAAGTCAAACCTCGATCTCTGACCGCTACATCAACTGACATAAACAAAATTTATACATAATGCACGACACGTGATGAACATTAACCGATGAAAGTGCACAAATCGTGTTGGTCTACAGGTGTCATCTTATTAATTCAATAAATTTTTTGATCCTTTTCTGCCAAATGCCTCCCTAAATGCCAAATACATGTACATGTACAAGTACCATATCAAGCAGCTTTTTATGCATGTGAAAAGGATATTATTTTCCCACGATAGCAAAATAATGAATGAAAAAAACGCATCTAAATTTGAAAACCCCTGACGAGAAAAATAAGTCAAATTTCACTGGCCTAGAGACATACATGTACATGGTCCCCAGAACGCAGCGTTGTTAAAAATATGTTGAACAATTGCCAATCAAAATGCATGCAATGCTTGGTACTGAGAGTGAAATCAAGACTCATAAAATGCCTGTCGGATGTTTTTTCAATACATTCAGAGTGTTCGCATACATGCACATGAGGCTTTATCACTGGTGATACAAAGGTACTAATAAAACAGAAGTTGCAATCAACATGTTTATTGCTGTCTGGTTCCCAGACCAAACAGATCCCTACATGGGACGAGATGATGAGGGGGGTCAAGTGACGTAATGTTCAATGATCTCATTTTAAAGATGGCGACTGAGAGAGCGAGCCTGTGAGATTGAATGGATAAAGGCAAAGAGACTTGAAAATATCTGAATAACGTGAGTGGAATCATTCAATAAAAATGGTTTTTAGAAAGCAGAAAGATCAAGGATCATGTCCGTGTGCAAAAGAAATTGCACCCACGATGATAAGTGGGTGTGCCAAAAATGTTCAGTACGCTGACACGAAATTGCGCATACGGATGGGTGGCTAAGGATGGATCGGGAGTGAGAGTCCGTGCCACACTAGTGGGGCTAGGGGCTGTCTGGCAGGAACACAGTCTCACCATCTGCACTTTGCACTTGTGTCAAATCGCAGTCCCTACACAGTAGACCTGCTGCATCATAATACTGATTCGACCCACAATCAGTCTTGTAGTTTTTGTACGGAATTGAATACGTAACCCCAGCAACTTGCGCAAAACAAAGCGCAAATACTAAGCTGACACAGGGGAAAATTGAACTCCCGCGAGTCGCCATTTTGGAATGTTAATGTTCGTTTGTTGGAAAGCCTTCCAATGATATCCCCAATAATGATTCGTAGATGCAGATCAGAGAGGGCGGTGTTTTACGATACCTGCGCACCAGCCTCGTTCTCATGCCGCGCCGTGTTGGTTATGAACATGATCTCCATGATATAATGGAGATCAATGGTTATGGGTGCACCCTCGCAAAAAGGCCCTAAATATGTCCGCCGAGCTCATTAATAAAAGTTATACGCTCAAAATATTCTATATTAGAGAGTCCTGAGAGCCATGAAATTG